AAAAAATTTTTTTTTTGGGGGGGGAGGTGTCTGTTCACAAGCCACGCCTCTTTCTCAAACCTAAGGGTGAATATGGGTACCTGTAAACGGAGAGAAAAAAAACAAACAACTATGCATGCAGTGCTAGCCGGGAAGTCAAACGCAAAGAATGTAAAAACTGAGTAACACAACCCAAACTGGCAGATAGATAGATAGATAGATAGATAGATCTTATAAGATAGATTTTTAAAAATTGAAAAATAGATAGATATTCACTTATGCAGACAGACTGGTATGTAGATCGGGAGATAGACAGGCAGACAAACAGAGAAAACTGGAGAGTCTTACAGCAGACAGACATACAGACAGACAGACACACACACAGACAGAAAAAGAAAACTGGACAGAGACTGGCAGGCAAACAGGCAGATAGACAAATGAACGGACGGACGAACAGACACACTAACAGACAGACAGGCATACACACAGACAGACACACTGACAGACAAACACACACACACACAGACAAACAGACTCACAGACAGAGAGAGAAAACTGAAGACAACAATCCACTCACCTTATCGTACCAGCTCAAACCTTCTGACGTCATGCTGCCGCTCGGGTATTCCTCTGTCACAATTTCTTTTCCTGGCAAGAGAATTCACCTTTCACCTTTCACCTTTCACACGTTCAAAGTTTTAAAACAACGGCATAATACGTCTTCTTCACGCGTTCAAAGCCAAAAACTAGATCTATATTATACGTCTTATTCACACATTCAAAGTCAAAAACTATATCTATATAATACGCCTTATTCACAGGTTCAAAGTAAAATACTAGATCTATAGAATACTACGTCTTCTTCACTTCTCCCAATGTTTTGAAAAGTTGAGAGCCGAGCTCCGCTCTCTCTCGCTATCTCGTCAAGTCCGTCTCGAGACGATCACAAAATAAAAACCCCAAACACTCGAACTTATTGACGTCACTTCCGGATCGTAGCACCGCAGTCAAATATTTACTTCCTGGTAGAATAGTAGTCGCCCTTGGCAAGAGACAATCGTCGATCTACTCCACGTCGCTTCTCACGACAACAGTTGTCTCCCCCTCATCGAGCGACGCCCCCTGGCGGAGGGAAGACTGATGGAGTGGTGTAGAGGGCAACGCCTTTGGGTGTGAGAGAGTTACGAAGAGGTTGGGCGTAGAGAGGGAGGGAGGGAGGGAGGGAAAAGAGGCAACGCCTCTGGACGGGAGATTAAGGGAGAGATGGGGTGGGTAGGTTGGAGGGAG